CAAGGTGGTGCCACTGGATTCGGAGGCACGGCTGGTGGTGCGACCGGTTTCGGAGGTCAAAGTGGTGCGACCGGTTTCGGAGGTCAAGGTGGTGCGACCGGTTTCGGAGGTCAAGGTGGCGCGACCGGTTTCGGAGGTCAAGGTGGCGCGACCGGTTTCGGAGGTCAAGGTGGTGCCGGTTTCGGAGGCGCAACTGGTTTCGGTGGAAATACTGGATTCGGAGCGGGAGCAGGGGCAGGAACTGCTGGGTTCGGAGCAGCAGGTAGTGGATTCGGCGGAACAACCGGGTTCGGTGGTCCGGCCGGATTCGGCGGAGCGACTGGATTCGGGGCCGGAACGGCCGGCTTTGGAGCCGGAACGGCTGGCTTTGGGGCTGGAACAACTGGTTTCGGAGCTGGAGCGGGCGGTTTTGGCGGTTTCGGTGCCGGTGGTGCCGGATTCAATGCTCAGAACCTGAACTACACGCTGGCGAATCTGAACAACAATCTGAATAATCTAAACAATTTGAACAACAATTTGGCCGCGTTGAACAACAACCTGAACAGTCTCAACAACAATCTCAACACAATCTCGAACAGCGGTCGTACATTCTCGAACGCATCCGGCACCAACTGAACGTACGGTTCGTAGATTGCTTTTATCAAGTTGATCGTATAATTTGAGCCACAGAAACGTTTTCTAATTCGAATCGGAGCAGTTTCGAAGCTCGGTTTCTTATTATGACCATAATAATGCTGAATTTATTTTGTTTACTTTTTCATCCAAGCGATTTTCAATTGTCTGGGATTGACCTCTCTCAATTTAAAGCTAATTCTCGCTAAAATTTCAGGTCTGAAGTAACATCGATCGACCGTTTGATCATATATAAGTGATCTGTTGCAAAATTGTTTTAGTGTTTATTGTGTTTGTTTCACTTAATTGAATAAATTCATTAGCAGATAACGTTGTTGGGCCATCGCACAATGCAAATGAGTTTTGTAGCAATTGATTTTGGATAGCAGTTCGACGCTATCTGGATAGCGAAGTTCGGATAAATGTGGTACATCT